GAATTGCTCATCTCTTTCTAGAGTTCTTTCTTCTTTCACCTGCACATCTTCCTCCTCTACTCTTAGTAGCCTTGCTCCTCAAATTCACAATCCCATTGGGAGGCTCTTGAGAGCTGTGGTCTTCAAGTGATTTGTTCTTGGTCTTTATCAGTAAAAAATATGAACATGAACCTTAATGAATATCTACCTATTTATTTAGAAAATATTCACACATACAACTGTTATAACATCATAAAATATAAATAAAATTAAAAGGTATTGGATTAGATGAAGATTAAAGAACATTTTTCAATGTAATTGATATAATTTAGTGCATTAATATTTTAATAGACAATGCTTTATTATTTTTAAAAAATGTTAGTTGAAGCATTTGTGCTTTAGCAATTCCAAAGTTCAGTTCAAATTATCCCAATATTTGATTTCAATAACTCATTCTAAAACACTTCTACTTCTACTTAAAAACTCTGTCAGTTATATTATTTCAGAGGTGAAATAAAAATATTTAATTAATTCTATGGGGTGGATACTGAGAATTAGAGCAATCACCATTCAATCGGAATGGACACAGGTTGAGAGAGCTAAGTCCAAAGTGTCTACCAGCTACTGTCAACCATGCTATCAATGAAAAGACAATGGCACTCTAGCTACATTTGACTGTAGTTTGCTCTTAAGCATTTATTTTAAAATAAAGTAAAAGAAGCACAGCCAGTCAATGCCTTTGCGGCAAAAGTTTTCACAAAAACATGTGCAAGTAACTTTTTGAAAAGACTTAAGCTATCGAGGAAGCATTTGGAAAAACTTCCACTGATACCTGATTTTTAAAAATTTTTTGGCCAAAACTGTCTACTTTGTAGAAAAGCTTTTACGTGTGCACACTTAAAACCAGAACTTTATAGTGGAATTGGTAGAAGTAATTAAAGAAATGTGTATCAAGATCTAGTAAACTTTGCCAGAATTTCTTTTTCTCTTTTGGACCGACTTGAGATATAAAGCTATGACAGTAAATTTTAATAAGCTTTTAATAAATTTTTCTTTAATAAATCAGCATATCAACTTCTATTTCTTGCCAAAAGGGATACCGTCTAGATACGTGATTACATGGCTAGTTATTATATAGTGTTTACGTACATTACTCATTTATTCCCATCATAAAGTGTACATTCTTTAAGGGATACCACTATCTCATTTATTGTTTGTATAAGCACGCTGGTAGTCATTTATGGAACAAACATAACATTCCAGGTCTGGTGCTAAGCGCTTTATAGTCTGTCCTTTTAACAACCTATGGTACTTAGTACTGGCATGGTACTGGTATCATTTTCATTTTACAACTGAGAAGTTTAAGGTGATTGCCTCGAGGACACACAGCAATTAATAGGCAGTGCTGAGGTGTGAATTCTGACATCCTGAGCTTAAACTCTCTATGTTAAACAACTCTACATTGCTATACTAAGGGTATCTAAGTTGAAATTACACAGAGTAGGCTTTTTATTGACACAATTAGTTAACAAATGGAGAAAAAGTATAATAATTCTAGAAGGATTTCCTCATTAAACTAAATTAATCATCATTTTTCTTTGGCAAAGACATTACTAACCGTATGCAGCCATTAAATTGTAGCTTTGGTTTGTCAAAAAAGTGGCAGCTATGATTATTACTACTTCTTAATTATAGAAAACTCAAATAAAAAGTTGGATAACAGTAGGAATCTGTTATGTTGTATATTCCTGACTTATTATTTAAAGAACAAAAGCTAAAAGGTGGGTTTTAAAACCGATGGCAACTGAAATACGTGTTTTGAGTTTAAAAAGGGCTGGCAGACTACTTCAAAGGAGAAAGGAAAAAGAAACTTACATTTAGAAAACAAGGAGAAGAATGAAAATGAAAGCTGTTAGAAGACACATGACAGAGGAAAACACTATTCAAACAAAAAACAGAAAATAAAGTAAATCATGATGCAAAAATATAGATGAAGAAAAAAGGTATGTTTTGAGAGACTAGGTTTGGCTCTGTTTTCTTCCACCTCCTTCCTCCACAAGGGGTGCTATCAAGATTATGGTAGATTCCTAAAAAGAGGATCTTTTCTATTTTCCCTCCAGTACCCCCACTTTAGTCCTCATCACTCTATCCTCATCCAGCAGAGTTACTCATACTTGAGAGTAAATATAAATTGTTTTTGATGAATAGTATGTGATACTAATGACGCTAGATAGGAGATGGCATCTCTTTGGAAAGTCAACCAGTGAAACTACATGTTCATTATTATCTAGAATCTTAATCAAAATCAAGAACAAGACAAAAGAGCCTATTCTCACCATTCCTATTCAACATAGTTCTGGAAGTCCTAGCCAAAGCAATCTTGCAAGATAAAAAAAAAAAAAAAAAAAAAAAAAGAGTGGAATTTGAAAGGAAGTAGTAAAATTTTCTCTATTTGCAGATGACATGATTTTATACATAGAACATCCTAGAGACTCCCCCTAAAATGTTAGACCTAATCAACAAAATCAATAGTTTCATGATACAAAATCAATATACAGAATTCAATAGTGTTTCTATACTCTAACAACCAATTATCTGAAAAAGAAATAAAGAAAATGATCCCATTAACAAAGGCATCAATAAAACACTTAAAACAGATCTTGCCATAGTTCTCATAGAATTTATCTTCACCTGGTTCACTGTACATTTTCTAATTATTATTTATTACCTGTCTTCCCACTCCAACTGGAATGTGAGTTCCAAAAAAAGTAGAGAGTTTGTTCAGTTTTAGTAACTGCACCTTGAATAGTGGTGGTCATATAGTAGGTACTTAATAAATATTTTTAAAAAATAATTGAATGAATGAATGATATAATCTGAATACAAACACTGAAACTTCTGCTTTTGACCATCTCTCAGATGGACAGCAATTTCATGATGTTAAAAGATCACATTATTTCCCCGTATTTAGTCAGCAATTCCTCTTATTCCCCAGTGTTTGAAACTAAAGAACAAAGGAAAATGGTTATGAGAGGACAGAAAGTTTTTGGTTTGTTTGTTTGTTTTTCATTTAATATACAGAAGGAAACCTGCCTGCATTTAGTGGGTGGGCAGGGGGCTCTTGTAATAGATCCAAAAGATATCTTTGTAGGATCTATAACTGAAATTAATAATTTGAATACTGCTGTGAAAATATCTAATCTGATTCTCTTCTACCTAGGTACAAGGTCAACTCCTAACATTAGATAAAGATACAGTAGTGTTTTATGAAGAAACAGAAAAAAATAGTGTTAAGTCAGGCTCACCTATAAGGCCAAGGTTTCATTTCATTTCAGCAGCCTTCACTATTTGTTTAAGATTAGGCCTGCAGCTAAATTAAGGCAAATAAAATTCCCATTCAGTGGGGAAATCATCAATGTTCTACTATTTATATTGCACAGGTAACTGTGTAAATATGTCCTTTCTTCAAGTAGCATACAATCACTTAAGGAAGAAAAAGGCTTAGCTATAATATATGGAAAGTAAATTTGCTATAAAGTGCTCAATCGGGTATTTTCTACGCCTCTGGTAAACACAAAGACTCTATTTTCCTTATCCAGTCCAAAGCATGACCAAGTGTCCCTGCCCATCCAAACATCATTGAATGTGCTTGCTAACGAATTACTTTTCCTAAATATATCGTTTTGATAACCTAAATGACCCCTCCATTCTCCATATAATTCTGGACCATGAGATTCTCATTATGAAGCACGTAGGCTACCACCCACAGTCACCCAAGGCAGCAGAATGCCTGAGTAGCAACCTGAGGACTCGTGTTTACATGGCTTCTGTACTAAAATGAGGCTGCCATTTTTCAGTGTGGTGTCTTTTTTTTCTCTCATGACATAGACAAATGTTGATGTTTACTACAAGTTGGTACATTAGTTGCTAATTAAGTTCCTAGCTGCTTCAGCCAGAACTTGCTGTATTGAATCCAAGAAAAGAATGGCAGCTATGTCAAAAATAAGTTGTTGGGGATTTTGTTTTGTTTTATTAAAGGAAAGTTGTATATTAAAGGATATGGGGAATTCACACGCTGGGAGACAAAAAACCTTCAAACTTGGCTTCCTCTTCAACTGAGTTGGTGGTTAAAGTACCCCTGGGTCTGTCATCAGGCCTTGGTCAGAGCCAAATAAATACTCCAGTCTACAAATGAGCCACTAAAGTTAACTTTATCATGACTTACTCTTTTTTATATCCACCCAGAAATTCCCCAAAGAAAGCTTTAGTTCTTGGGGACCCTCAGGACGTCAGGTTTATATCTAGAAAGGGTGCAGTGGTCACTTTATCCTGGGGTTGTGGGGTTACACCACTCTGGAGACATATTTTGTTGGCTTCATCTCTCCACTTGTCCCCTTGCAATCTTACCATTTTGGCGGGGCCAGAACCTGCCCGCATTTTCCAGCTATGGTGAACTCCTTTCTGAGTGGCATCAGTTTCTCTTCATTCCTGGGCTGGAAAGTCCCGAATCAGGCGCTTTCATGCCTTCCACATTTCAGCTGGCAAGAGGGTGATGCAAGACGGCTGTGGGAAAGAAGTCTGATTTATCAGGCAGAATCCTGCAAGGGAGACAGAATCCCCGCAGGTGGTGCCCTGTCGGGGCTTGGTGGCCTTGCTAGAGCGGGAGGGGGCGGGGCGGATTCGCTTTCCTTTTCTCTGGCCACGGTGCCTTTGGCCAGAGGACTGCCCTTGCCAGAACCGACCGAAGGGTGGCTCTCCGCGGGCTTAGCAGCCACACCCCGCCCGACAGCTGACGTTAGGAAACTCCTGAAGAAGAGAATCGAAACAGAAACCAAACTGCCCGACGGAAAGCTGGATTCAAAAGCTCCCACCCGAGTGCGCAGCGGAGGCTGTCTGGTTTCCACCCGGCGAGCTCTGCAGAGGCTGAGGGCCCGCGGCGCCCGCCCGCGGCTGCGTGCCGGCCGGCATCCCCGCCCCGCTGCCCGACTGCCCCGGGCGCCCTCCCCGCCGCGCCGGTGTCGGGGGTCTGCGGCCGACCCCTTTGCTGTCCGGCGCATTGCTGCAGACCCTGCTACTCCAAGGCAACGGACAGTGGTACACGCATAGAACCTGTTGAGCAGAGAACAGCAACCTGTCTTAACTTGGGAGAACCTCTCCTTTTCTGAGAAGGAAAGATGTCGAACGGGTGTTCTGCAGACAGGAGTTTCCAATATCTCATCTCGTGCTTCAGGGCCAGAGTGAAAAGGTACATTCACGTGGAACCCGTACTGGACTACCTGACCTTTCTGCCTGCAGAGGTGAAAGAGAAGATTCAGAGGTCGGCCGTCACCCAGGGGGACATTTGCGCAGCTGGACTGCTCCTGAGCACCTTGGAGAAGGGGGACTGGCCCCTGGGCTGGCCTCGGGTGTTTGTGGAGGCCCTCAAGAGAGCAGGCAACCCTTTAGCGGCCCGCTACATGAACCCTGAGCTCACAGACTTGCCCTCGCCATCCTTTGAGAACGATCATGATGAGTGCCTCCAACTGCTGAACCTCCTTCAGCCCACTCTGGTGGACAAGCTTCTGGTTAGAGATGTCTTGGATAAATGTGTGGAGGTGGAACTGTTGACAATCGAAGACAGAAATCGGGTAGGTGTCAGTACAGTTGGAGTCGAGCTTTTCGGCAGGTGTTGCAACTCAGGGCCGGTCATTTTTTTTGCCCCATTCCAGATATTCTTTGACATTGTTAGGTAAATCTGGCGCCCTCCTTCCTTGAGAAGAGAATATCTAGGCACTTAAAACATAACTTTGAAAATGTAAATACAAAAAAGGCTATTTTTCTAATTCCCTGCAATAAGCTAAAGAGTTAACTCTAGAATAATAATGTGTGCTAATAGAGAACATTTATTGAACACTTACTGTGTGCAATTAGTATATTTTGAAAAATGTATTATCAGAATTCATGCTCAGAATAATCCATTGAGGTGTATAATGTTATTAGCTCTGTTTTACAAATGAGAAAACTGAGACAAGTTAAAAACTTGCCCAAGACTTCCTGGGAAGATAGTGGCAGAGCTAGTGATTTAGGCTCTGATGGTGTGAAATTTTGTCTTTTTTAAATATACTCCCACAAAACAGGGATCAGCAAAACATGACCAGTGGGCTACATCCATACTGCTGTTGTATTTTTTTTCCTAGGCCCAAAAGCTAAGACTGGTTTTTAGATTTTTAAACTTTTGGTGTTTATAAAGAAAGTTTTATTAGAACACAGCCATGCTCATTCATTACATATTATGACTGCTTTTGCACTTCCGGATAGCCTACATAGCCTAAATTTTCATTATCTGGACTTTAGAGAAAATATTCATCACTCTCTTGCATATATTATATGTTATGCCATTTAGTCTTGGTCTACATGGAGAAATCACATATAACACACACATTTTTTTTTTCTCTAAAGTTTCAACATTCTTTGAGAGTCAAAATTTGAAGATAATTCTTTAAAAAAATATGTCTCTAGTTGCAGTTTTTCATATTAATGAAGGAGCAGTGGATATTTTAGGTGGCATTTTGACAGGGTGAATTTTGCAAGTGACTTTACACTTAATGTAATGTTTTATTGTTCATTGTTTTTTCAAGAGTAAGGATGTCCTACTAGTATAACAATGGTGACCTATTTGAATCTTGACTTACTAAAGGTGATAGGTCAAAAGTCTTATTTGGAAAGGCAAACTGGAAAATAAACCCATGACTAAAAGTCAAAGGCCTTGTCTAACATGCTATGAGTTTTGACATTTTTCATATTTTCTTTATTTTTTGACTTATTGTTAGTATCCTCATTACAAGTTTTGGCCCTTGGACTCATATCAGCTTATTGTGTGACTTAATCTTTAGTGACTCAATTTCATGTTCCTTTGTAGATTTGACAGCTATGGGGCTTTCCCAAAAACCTAAGCGTACATCTAATTTTGATGGCTGGTTTTCCCAACAAGTAAATTACTTTACACTGTTGTCTGTAACGTTTATGTAGTTTTGTGTATTGAGAACCAGCTAGAACGCATTATAGTAGTCCAGCTGGATATGACAAATGTGTACATCACTGTGGCAGAATCTTAATTTGGAAGACAGTATGCAGCCTTCAAGCCAGCTGGAGATAGAAGATGGCATTTTCAGCCACAGTAGCTGTTAGGAAGTCCAGAAGCAACAGAGTCCAGTAACACCACAAAGCTGTTTATGTTTGGTGGGTATGATGTCCCGATTGCCAGCGAAACAGCACTTTTCCTTATTTACTCTAAATACTTCTGCCTATCAGCATCACTTTTGTCTTGCCTGGATTGAATTTCCTCCAGCTAGATTTTATCCAAGTTCTTGATTCTGGCAGCTTGGAGGCAGCTAGCAGTAATGCAAGGGAGTTGACACAAGGAATATATAGAGTAAAGGGACATTTGTGTACTGGTAGCAGTTAAGGCCAAAGCAACCCAATCTCTCTCTCAGATTCATATCTCAAACGAGGCACCGAAAGAGGGAGGGGCTGTGTATTTGAGGCTCTCTAAGGAGGAATAGTGTCTCTATGAGATTCTAATGATTTTTGTACACATCAGTTTATATGTGTCATCAGAATAAAAAATAAACCATGGCGAACAATGGGAGGATGTTCTAAGTTTAGGAGGATCTGTTCATATGGAGGACATCGATGAATGTTTATATTAAACAGAAAAGTGCAGTGGGAAAAGCATAAGTATTTGGAATGGAAAGATCTGGACTTAACATCTTTGTTTCTTACCATCTGTGTTACTTTGAGCTTAGTTTTTTAAGTTCTGTGATCTAAGTTTACCCATGAGAATTAACATAATAATAATTTCTTCTCTCATAGAATTTTAGTGAACACAAAATCATTTTTATGAAAAAGCTATTTAAATAGTAAAGAGCTATTTTTCCATGATGATGATAACTTTTATTATCATTCATTTGGTTACATTTCCTTGTGAATTTAGAGTTCCAGTGACTTAGGTAAATTGAGATTTGTTTTTAAAATCTCTGGATTAAACTGAGTTGAAGAAGAAACTTTATCTTTCACCTGTAAGATCCCAGTACCTAACCAAGACTAGATATAGGGTATTTAATAAATATTAATTAATACATACATGGTTAGTTAAATTTATTTCCAAAGAGTTGTCTAGAATAAGAGATGAAAACAAATATATAATGAATCGTGTCAGGCATTGGGGAATGGATGGATGACAAATGTTAAGAGTTCAAAATTTGCTTTTGGACAGTTTAACGTAGCATTTAACTAAGTAGTCGGGATTTCTAAAAAATCATATTTTATTTTAATTCTTTTCTTGTTTTCCAGTAGACATTTTTTACTTAGTCTGTTAGTTTAGGATTCCAATCTCCACACATCAGCCTTTCTCCCCATATATCACAGCTTCTGATAATGATCCTAAACTTAATTTTGTGGCCAGTGACCACTCAAAGAAACTTATATAATTGCTTTGTTTATTCACTTATAAATTTGTAGAATGGCACAAAGGTGCCATGATAATGAAAAGATAGGAGAATAACACAGATATTGTCTATGCTTTCATGGAGTTTATGTTATAGTGTTGATCAGTGTCCATTCTTCAAATTCAAATAATTAATGAGTGTCTAGCTTATGCCAGACATTATTGTGAATACTGGTGACTCAGCAATAAGTACAAGTCACTTTATGAATCATTATGATAAAATGATCACAAACTGTAAGGAGTGCCCATGGATGGATCTGCTCCTGTGTTAGGATGCTTATTGGACATCTTGGCCCATTCATTGACTTAGACACCCATGAATTCTGGAAAAAAAATGATCACATAAACATTTTCATAATGTCTTAATATCAGTTTGAGCAGTTGAAGAGAGGTGCATGTTTCAGCCCTGGCCAGTTCAAAGCATAAACATTTATAGTCCTGGAAAACCCCATACAACTTTTATTTGCATAGGAGGACCCAAGATGTTATGACCGATCCAACTAGAAACCTAGTCCACTAGTCCAGTTCTCCCTACATGAAATTGAGTACCCTAGTCACTCCCCACCAGCTTGTTATATTACTAACTAAGGATAGATAAGAGTTTTATTAGCAGAAAAAAATTAATAAGAAACTAGTTATGTTAATTTGACAATATATAATCATTTGGTAAGATACTAGCTTTTGGGGGAACTAGTTCTTAAAATTTTTTTGCTTTTAATGTGAGTTTTACTTCCTGATTTACTGATACTGAGAACTGAGCTCTGCTGTATTAAAAAAAAAGCTGTTATATTTAAATAGCTATCTAAGGTTATTATGACGGAGGGAAAACATTTTTATCAAACTGTACAATTGTGTTGGTAAACCAGTGCTTATTGGAAATATCATCAGTTTCTCCACTCATTTCTGTTGGAAAGAAAAAACATAGATCAAAGAATCTAGAATATGAAAGCATTGAATTGTATTATCCACAAATTCATATTTACCTTATATTCTTTACATTAGATAACAATATATTCATAGACACTTCAAATTATGTGTTAATTTCATATTCACAGAAAAAGTTCAGTGTGGGAGGAACACAAGTGGGACTCACTATATGTTCTATTGGGACCTCAAGTCTAAATAGTTTCCTCCCAAGAATTTCAGCAATCAAGTTTGTGTATTGGAGTCTAATATCTTTACTATGTTTTAGGAGAGCAGATTAAGTTAAAAATATATATATATGTGGTTGCTTCGAAGTGTACTGATATATTTTCTAGCACCCAATCTGGGAAGATTCCTTAAAAACTCAGAATCTTGATGAAGCTGACAAAATTGCCCAGGTATTATATGTAGTTCAATATTCAAATAATAAAGATACTTATAGGAGATAATGGCACAGGATCCTTAAATGCCTGAACTCACTAAGGGCACAAGGCAAGTTTGATAAATGTAATTTTATAGTAAAAATTAACTGATTAATAGTTAAAATTTAGTGGATATAATATGCTTAGGTTTTTAATAAAAGTATTTATTACAGTGCCTTGTTCTTTTTAGAGAAATTCTTTCTGATTAAGTTAGCAGATAATAAGAATGTCATTACAAACACCATTGAAGACGAAGAATTTTATTAGATTAATGAAATTAAAGAAAAAGATAAGAAATGAGCAAGAATTAGTTTACAAAATGCTATGGGGGAGATGAACTTAAATCACCTAGAAGTTATTAATTTCAAGTAGGTATTTTAACCCTTAAGCCAGAAAATGAACTTAAAATTAGGGACAACTATTAGTACAAGACAGCAGCATTGAAGCCAATTGCCTGCTATCAACTTTTACCTCTGCAATTTACTAGCTGTGTGTCCTTGGGGAGGTAATTAGACTTCTCTGCACCTTGGAGTTTTGATCTGTAGAATGGGTTAATAATGTTATGTTCTTTAGAGTTGCTGAGTTAATATATGCAAAGCCTTTATAATAGCATTAGTAACTGTTGGCTAATAAAACTAAAATATCCTCTGGGTAGAAATCATGCTGTACACTTGTACACTAAGTAGTGTTCACTGGTGAAATGTTTGTAAGGGTAGATGTTTTTCCTAGTCATCCATAAAAATAGCTAACAGTGAATCTGTGTGAGACATTGTTCCAAAAACGCAAATTCCTGACTTTAAAAGTCTATGGCATATATTTATAGAGATTAGGAAACATAAATTTTGTAAGAAAAAAAAACCTAGCTAAACAGTAGATCCCAGATATCAGTATTGATTAAAGCTGATTCTAGCATGCAGTAAGGATGGAGAGTGCCTGAAATTTTATTTTCAGTTGCTTCATTTTACACATGAAGAAACTGAGGCTCAGAGAGATAGTTTACCTAATGGCATGGCAAGCTGGTGGCGTCCTGTCTAATTGTTTTCTGCTCTAAATGTGGCTTGTATTTGTCCACATTTATAAAGATTTGCTTAGATTAACCTGAAGGGGAAATTACATGAAGCCTAAGGATTATAATGAATGGATGTAGAAATAATTCTGCTCCCTTCTTTAAAAAAGGAATAGATGTAAAATTAGCCCTGACTGGCATGGCTCAGTGACTTGAGCAGCAGCCTGGAAAACAAAAGGTTGAAGATTTCGATTCTCCGTTGGGGCACACGACTAGATTGCAGGCCAGGAACCCAGCTAGGGGCATGTGAGAGGCCACCACACATTGATGTTTCTCTCCCTCTCTTTCTCCCTCTCTTCCCCTCTCTCAAAAAAATAAATAAAATTTAAAGAAAAGAATAGATATAGAATTAAATTTTCCTCATAATTTTAAATAAATGCCAATTTAAGAAAAATATTATAGTAGTAATAAATGTTGCTAATATTTAATAGGCAAGAATATAAATCTGTGATAGTAATTACTTCAGAATGGTAATAGTGAAGAAATAGGAGCTGGATAAGAAATGTTTGACTTCCCATTTTCAGACTCTATGAGGTAAAAATAAAAATCATGCCCTAGATATACAAAAATAAATTGATGCAAATAAACATAAAATGGCTAGAGAATAGAGGCCCTTTCTTTTGCACCCCTTATTTCAGAGTGGCTGAGGTAAAACATTTATTGTTACAAGTGGTCCTGCTCTTTTCTCTAGTGTTTGAAATAAGTCTTTATTTATACTTCTGCTTCATGCTCATTTTTTTTGAAGGGTAGTTCCTTTTTAAATTAATTCAGAAGATGTTTGACCTTCTTGAATTCTACTTTTCTCTTAAAACAGATAGCAGCAGCAGAAACTAATGGAAATGAAGCAGGTGTGAGAGAACTCCTGAGAAGGATTGTGCAGAAAGAAAACTGGTTTTCCACATTTGTGATTGTTCTGAGGCAAACGGGAAATGAAAGACTTGCCCACGAGTTAACAGGCTCTGGTGGCTCCGAACCCAGTTCAGGTATTTCCGATTCTACCAAGGGAAGAGTTTGCGCATTTTGCCTAATGATTGAGAGTGTAATGAAGTTTCCAGACAGAAGGCCAAACACTAAGATATTTAGAATCAAAATTCCAAAACTGAAAGGGATTTGAGAGATCATCTCTTTTTATCCTCTTTACAAACGAGGAAACTGCTGCCTGGGAAAAGATTAACCTATAGAAAACCACAAAGTTTAGCAAAATGGATGAGAATATAGGCAGCTGACTCCTAGTCCAACACTCTTTCCACTACCCATCTTATTTTAGAAACAAGGCGATTGCCTGAAATTTTTATTGAGATTTTTTCAACATTGAACAGACACGAATAAATTGGAAGAAAATGTTTTAATGGTTATTACTACTCTGCTGCATAGTCTTCTGGGTATTTATTTACATTTAAAAGGAATTTATGAAATATTTGATTAAAGGTCTGTTGTAGCCAACATATTTCAGTATTCATGTGAGTTTTTAAAATTATTAAATTATAATAACATAAGTAACATTTTATAGTCATGTTATTTGTAAAGCTGCTTTAAACTGCCATCTTATCCCTGGCGGCGTTGCTTAGCTGCTTAGAGTGTTGTCCCTATACACCAAGATTGCAGGTTCAATCTCAGGTCAGGGCACATACAAGAAACAACCAATGAATGCATAAGTAAGTGTAACAACAAATCGGTTTCTGTCTCTCTCTCTCCCCCCTTCCTCTCTTTTCAAACTGAATAAATAAACTGCCATCTTATTTTTCTTTTCAAAGTATGTATCCTATGTTTTCAAAAATATCACATGTAAGACAAATTGAAAGTTAATTGGTAATAACTGATTTAAATGAATTAGAATTATTTCAAGCTCATGTCTTCATTCATTCAACCAGCATTTCATGAGCGCCAGAGATGTGCCAGATGCTGTGGTAGGAGCTGGGGATGTGGACTTAAAGGAGACACACAAATCCAGCCCCCTCCCCTTATACCACATTTTCTAATGAAATAAGATACTGAGTAAACTCTTTTCTAAGTTACCTATGCAAAATAAAGAGATAATTGCTAATTATTAACAGTTGATTATGTTTTTATATTATATTAATTAAATAGCTTAATTTTGCCCAGTGGTTTGAAAGAGAGAGAGAGAGAGAGAGAGAGAGAGAGAAGGAAAAGAAAGAAAGAAAGAAAGAAAGAAAGAAAGAAAGAAAGAAAGAAAGAAAGAAAGAAAGAAAGAAAGAAAGAAAGAAATTTTTACTGCTCTGTATTAACATGCTCTAAAAATATTTGGACAAGGTCTTTTATCTTTGCCCCAAAACAAATGGTTGGCAGTGTCATGTTCATGCCCTCCACAAAGTGCAAATCTCAAGAGGCCTTGCAGCTATCCATTCTCTCTTGAATTATTCAAGGGTTAAGGTTGGGGGGAGGTGTCTGCTCTAACTTGGTCAAACCAACTTTCAAAATCCAGGCAGTAACTCCATGATCTGTCTACAAGCAGGTTCCATGGTTTCTACTGTCATTGCGTCCATTCCACAGCAGAGCTTAACTGTATAGAAAGCCCTATCAGTCAGAAGCATCTTTACTTTGTGTCAGTTTTCTGGAAGGGCCTCAGTTGCAACATCAAGATTATGATTTTTTACACTTGTATTTTATGGCCCAGTCATTGTTTCCATAGCATATCTCTAAGACCAGCTTGCTCAGTCTGAAGATACTTCCAGCCAAAGCTACATACGATGATGGGACCAAAGTTCTCCTACACACCTCAAAGGTGAGCTGGACCCCAGTCCAGCCCATCCCTTTCATGATGACTTCCTTTCAGGACCCAATGGGAACACTTCTATTTGTGATAAGCTTTGTCGAATTTGAACTTCAAAAGGGAATGACTACTGTTTGGTTTTTTTTCCCCCTGGGAAATTTTAGCTTCAGTGTATCAAAGGATATTAGAAAGGTCAGCCTTTCGGATCACAAAAAGCCTCATACCTATCCCTGAAACTAGAGGGTACCTATCCATTCTACACTTGTATACTGTAGCGTAATTGTTTCAGAAAGGGTCTAGAAGATCTGGCCTAAAGTGTCTTCTAGATTCTCCTGACATAAACAGCGTGTCTAGTAGCAGTATTTCTTGCTAAGGTATTTTTAAGTTCTACTTTACAAGTTACTTTGTTAGAAATTTAATGTAATTTTTCAAATTATGATTCTTTGAACAATAACAGTCTATATAAAGAGGATATATAGTAAATCTTATGTAATACCTGTGTTATAACACATCTCATTATATACACTTAGTATTCACATACCTCATTACTGTCTTTATTCTATGCTATAAATTTGTGTTTATGCCTCTTTGAGATTCTCTCAGCCCACACACATATCCTGGCTGGCCAGGGCCAAGCATTTTATAGAAGTGGAAAGTCCCTGTGAAAAGAAAAATAGTGGTACCAATTCTACATTCCCCTTCCATCCCTCCCTGGGCCTGTGGCAGGGTCCGATCAGGGCTGGGGACTTTCCCTCTTTGGACCAAAGTGGTTGATGATGGATGTTGACTCAGATATGTGCACTCTCGCAAGGTCAGGGAGCAGATTAGAAATGGACCTCTGAGCTTCCTCGGAAGGTCGGATGGCATATGCCAATCTATGACTGGGGCTCAGCATTGTTCTACTCCCATACCAACTCATTCCAAATGAGTAGGGCTTGCTTTTTCTTTCCTCAGGAAAACATATCAGTGAAGTCAGGGATTTAAATATTCTTGCTGGGTAGTACATCTTATCATGAGAATCTAAGCATTTTTCCAGCAGGTTTTGTTGACCAGGAGGTTAGCTATGATTATTCTTGTGTTTCGGAGCTACAGCGGACTAAATTGTGTTACCCCAAAGTTCACATGCCGAAGATCAACTTCCGTGGAGACTATATCTGGATGTAGGGTCTTTAGGAATTAATGTTAAATGAGGTCAGAAGTGTGGACCATAATTCAGAAGGACTGTGGCCTTGTAAGAAGGAGAGGTGTCACCCCCCTTCTCTCACTCTTCCTCTCCCCCATGTGAGGACATAGTCAGACCAGTGACCTTCTGAAACCTAAAGAAAGAGCTCTCACCAGACACCAACCCCGCTAGCACATTGATCTCGGACTGCCAATCTCCAGAACTGTGCAAAAATAAAATTCTGTTGCTCCAGCCACTCAATCCATGGTACTTTGTCATGATGGCTTGAGCTGACAGATATGGGAGCCTGGGCTCTGAACCCTTACGCTTATTGAATCTTTGTTCCTTCACTTCCTTGGATGCGTGACTTTGGCCAGGTACTTGCCCCCACCCCCAGGCCCCAATTTACTTCTCTGTGAAATGGGGACAATGATATCACACATTTCTTAAGGTTATTTTGAGGATTGAATAAGTTAACATATATAAAGTGCTTACATGGTAAATTCAAAACAAGTTGACTATTATGATTATAAACTCCAAACATACTGAATATGTAGCTGCAAACATTATCAAGTTGTCTGGCCAAAGACAAAGTCCGAAGTCATAAGAGTTTTTTTCAGGAAATTCTTATTTTCAGGAAATAAGATAGCCTGATCCAAAATGATACTTTGAATTTTTTTCTTCATGGCATCAGCCTCCTCTGACAGATTGCAGCTTCCGAAGGGCAGAAACTCACTTTTCTTTGTAACCACATAGTCCTTTAAGAAAACATTCCATATATGTTGGTTATAGGTAGAAAGACTGGATGGAAGAAATAAAGGGAAGAAGGAAGGAAAGAGATAAAATATTTCATTGACTCTTTAAAAAAATCTCCAGAAATTCAGAAAAAAACATGCATTTAGGCTGACATTAAAGCATATGTACATCTCATGTAAAACACACAGCGAGGGAACAAAATGGCAAGAGCACAAGCTAAAGAGAAAGTACCACCAAATTTGCGTTTTCATTTCTTCAGCCTTAAGTGTGTCTCACATCACTGAGTGAGTGGCTTACTTCCTGAAGGTGACGGTCAGGAGAGCATTGAACCATGGTGTCAACAAAAAACGCGTTCCAAACCTTTCAAGGTGTCCAGGTATCGAAGTACATTTGGGCAAATCTCTATGACGGATCCCCCTCAACTTGGTGTTCAGAGTAACAATAACAGGTATTTATAGCGTATAAAAACTTGCATTGTAATATAATGTACATTCTGTTTAGAATTCAAGGTATTGAAGTATATTCAGGTAAATCTCTATTTGGAACCCCTAATTTCATTTCCAAAATGACAATAATGGTTTTCTGTATGCTGTACAAAAATGTGCATTGTGCTATTTTTTACATTCTAATACTTTTATTTATAGAGAGTGAGAATTCCCCACAAGAAGATGGTCCTGAAGTTAAAGAGCCACTTCTTTTAGCCTCAGATCTGCCAAGTCCAGAGACGCAGGGCTGGGACATGGAGAATAATTCAATGGGATCATCATTTGCGGATTCTTCTGTAGTTTCAGGTACTTAGAACAACTACACACTTTATAGACACCAATGACTGCTTCCCAAAAACGTCAATTGGTGCATTAATGACACCAGGATCTGTTAAGCAGAGGGAGAAAATTTGGGCTTTGGGGTTTTGTGAGCATTTTTATTAAAATAATATTTTTAGCAGAGATTAAATTAAAATAATTCCTGTTGATGGCTAAAAATGTTTTCAAAACTAATGCAATATTAATATGTTATGAATATGAACACATTTGGTTCTAATTTTACTTTATAAGACATCTGTGGTCCTTGCAATGTGGTAAATACCATAAGCATGCCCTATATTTAATGGTTTTCAAAGTACTTTCAAATATAGACGTGTCACATACGGATGTTTGAATCAATGACGACCGCAACCGCACATATGATGGTGGTCCAACAATGTTGTAATGAAGCTGAAACATCCCTATTGCCTAGTGACATTGTAGCTGTTGTAAGGCCGTAGCACAATGCATTGCTCACACATTTGTGCTGATGCTCTTGTAAAGGAAGAACTGCCAGTTGTCTAAAAGTATAGCACATACAATTATGCATAGTACATAATACTTGTTAATAAACTACTATGTTGTTGGTTTATGTATGTACTGTACTATACTTTTTGTCACTATTTTAGAGTGCATTCTAAAAGTTTGCTATAAAGCAATATGCCGTGTTACCCTGGCAGCAGCCTCATACGTCTCGTGTTTGCTGATTCTCTTGACTCCACCTTTTCTCTGGAGCTTGATTCAATCTCATGTTGTTTTGTACAATAACATGCTGTAAAGGGTGGGAGCAGTAGGCCTAGGTGCGTAGCAGGCTGTACTATCCAGGTTCGTGTAAGTGCACTCTGCAAGTTCGCACAACAACCGAGTGACTAATGATATTTCTCAGAACACATTGCAGTTCTTAAGCAGCTTTTTCATTCAAAGCTCTGATAATGAAGTAAGGTCATTACCTTTCCCCCTATTTCACAGCCTGGGTTGTCTCAGAGAGGTTCAGCTGGATTGGAGAGACTAAATCCAAGGCTGGAGGGAGGAAGATGACCAGGGGCTAAACTGATGCTGGCTTGAATTGCAGTAACTAATTGGTGTGAGAACAAGATACCATGCTCAGCTTTTTATGATAGGAAACAGCTCTGGAAGGATTGAACTAATTTAATTATGTTCCTTTCCCTAATTTGCTCATGATAGAATCCTCTCCTCTTCTATCTCCCCGAGAGGGCCACATTCTGTTTTCTCAAGATATACTTAACGTCTGTGGTGTGCTGATATATGTGTAACTAGTAGCTCTTGGGGGAAAAAAAAAGAAGCCCTGATGGGCAGTATATACCAGTCCCTGAGGTGTAAATGCTCCCACCAAGGCCGATTTCAAGCCTTCAACCTCTGTAGAGCACTTTCATCATGTAGGCATAAATAGCCTCGACATCATAGACGATAGAGCAAAATGATCAGGAAGTGAGGTGTTTTAAGCATTCGTTACATTTGTTTTAATATCATTCATTTACTTGTATCAATATGTTTATGTCATTTAATTTTTTAAATGACTACTAAACAACTGGCTCACAAAATTCCTGCAAATTTAACAATTGGCTCTTGTGAGCTAGTATATGCTGACTCCAGCATACCACTGTGAAGCATACTATTTTTGATTCAGAAAAGTAATGTGGCTGCATTACAGCAAATTTAAAACATAGAAACATACAAAGAAAACGTCACCCATACTCCCACAGTATAGATACATTATTCTTAACAATCAAGTGCATATCCTTCCCATCTGTTTACCCACCTGGATGTTTATGTGTAATGACATTTCTCCTGGGTTCAGTAGATGTTCTTCTACAGAAAGCTTACAAAAATTGAATAAAAGCTTCATATGCTGGATGCATTATAATTGATTATTTAATTGTTGAACATTTAAGATGCTTCCAAATTTCTAAATCGTGAATAATGCCACAATAACTCTTTGTATTTATGTCTCAGTTTAACTCTTACAAACATATCACATAATTGAAATTTCTGGATCAAGTGGTTTCTACAATTTTAAGGCATTTGATAATTGATGCCAAATTTTACTCCAGGACCTAGTATCCATTGACATGTCCTCCACCAATATAGAGAGTATTTTTGCCCTGAAGCTGCTTCTACCAGCGCAACAGTGGGTAATATTTTAAAATTTTTGCAACTGTGTATTTTATTATTTCAGTTTGAATCTTTTACTTCCTAATGAAAAAGAATTTTACAAGTTTATTCATTTTTGCGTTTGTTAATTAGCTATGAACTTTTCTATTAGGTTCTTTATGATCTTCTTGCTGATTTATATAAACTGACTATAGCAATCTTTTGTTATGAATAGTACCAATACTTTTTATAGTTTGTTTGCTGTTTAAGCTTGTTTATGGTGTTTGTCTCTTTCGGCAGTGCCTCTGAAGCTTTAATGTGCATATAAGTCAGCAGGAGGAGAGGGCTTGTTGAAGTGCAGGTTCTGGATCAGCAGGTCCTGTGTGGGGCCTGAGATTCTGCCTTTCGCTCATGCTCCCGGGCAATGCTGCTTCTGCTAGTCCTGGACTATATGTTAAATAGCGAGGTTTAATGTCTAGAATAGCAGAGCTTTCAAACCTGGCTTCTGGAAGATTTTTCTTTTTTCATTTGAGCAACTGTGCTTACCTTCAAAAATCATGATTGTGTAGGAGTGCCAAAATCTACAGTCTACGTTTGGGGTTTCCACCTTTTAACACATTTCTTTGGTAGGCCACCTGACATCTCTGTGGGTTACCGCCTATTTTCTCAATCCACACTGGAAAGAACTGATGACAGGATGAAGGCTCGGAAATGATCCTGCATCTCAAAGAAGGGTTTTTCATCAAATGTTGCCTAATGTATCTCATCGGATTGTACTTTATGTAGGGGGGATTCTGAATCTCGAAGTGGACAAAGTTAAAAGCAAACCTTTTTTTAAATTTCTGTTTTCTTACTATTTAATATAAAACTTAAAGCTGCATCTCGTGAAAAAAAAAATCTGGATCTTAGTAACAGCCATAGGGAACAGAAAGAGTTTTCCCCTCCCCCCATCCCCCAGGTTTCCTCTCTTCCTCTCTTCCCTTCACTTCTTTCATTTAACAAATATTTATTATGTCCCAGGAGTATAAATCTGGGGGAGCAGGGGACAGAAGTGGCTTCTGGCAGTACGGTGATTTCAACTGATGGCTGTGTCAGCCAAACAGTAGTCACTATATTAGCTGCATAGTAAGCGCTATGAAAGAAAAGTACAGACTATTAAAATATATAATAATCCGAGGACATGTGAGAGTTCAGTAAGATGTACAGTAATCTGAGGACTCCATCCCATACACAGACTTGAACTCTTTTCTAGTCCGGAACATCTTTGTGCTGTAGGCTTGGGAGCAGATTAGTCCAATCCATTCTGGCCATTTCCAGAGCAGCACCAAAGAGTAACTTATTTATGAAAATGCAGTGTCTTTGCTTTAGGGAGCAGACACTGCTGCTGTGGATTATTCCAAGTGTCTGTTCATTTTGTTGCTGCTCTTCAGAAATAAAGGTGCGGTATAAATAACTTGTAAAATAACCCAAAGAAATTATTGGAGTTATTTTCATTAAAATTTTGGTTGCAAAATTTATTGTGGAAGGGATTTGTCTACATTGGCTTCTTTAACAGAATTAGCAATAAAAATAAACATGAAAGTGTCCCTTAGTGTCTAATATGCATTTGCATAATTTTGTTTTGTGTATCTATTGATATCAGTAATGTATAATCTTTATTTTGAATTCTAATATATTGTGTTAAAATTTCAAATACAGATACCAGAATGGCATTGAAACAAACTTTTACTTAAGGTGCACATAATCTATGCATATGAATTTTCATCGGCAGAAAGAAAAAATTTGACTTGAATTATTTCCAATTTTAAATGAAGATTTCTCTAATTTTTATTTATGAACCGGTTTCTAAATATTTTATTCAGTGCATACAAATGTTAATTTTTTTATAACTTCAATGCAAGGCTCTTCAAATATTCTTTTTAGCTTTTACTCCTTAATATACCTAATGGGTGAGACAGACAGCATTATTAACAGTGGCCTACCCTGAAATCAATTTTAAACACATCTTTCCTTTCTGCTAGGAGCGATAAGTCAGAATTCTCTAGTGGATAGATCTGGAGAGTGATTTCATCATGTCTCCTCATTGGGGGCTGGCATTTCTTCTTCTCACTCCTTCCAACTGCTTCCCACACACACAAAAAGTGGTCAATTAAGAAATACCAAAAGTTTTTTTTTTTTTTTTGCTTTTTTCCAAGTTAACACAATAATTTCTAAAGGATATTTGAATAGTTTTCAGACTACTAGTAGGATTTTAATGCTGGGTTTATATTCCTGCTTTCTGAAGTCACTGGTTATCTTTTAACAAGAAAATATTGGAAAACTTTGGTGTTTCTGTAGACCACACTTCCCTAGAAAACAACAGAGGGACACAAAGCCTACATTCATTTTATTTTATTAAAAATATTTTACTTATAGCAAGTACATAAGTATATAGATTTTTAAAATTCTATAAGTGGATGATAAAATTGATTGTACAATCAGTTTTAGTTGTGTGCCACTGTTGCTTTTTTACAAGTGAGTAGTTATTTTGCATCAAACTTTTTATTATACTATTTTAGAAAATAATGCTCTATAATAAAGTGAAAGCATATTAAAGGAGATTCACAACTATAAAATTTATTGTATTTGGAATAAACTTACTTTGATGCGGAGTTCTTCAGAATATCCACCAAAAATTTCTTTTATCATCCTATGTTGGATCTTGCTGTTGCCCAACTAGAAAATGTAAATACCTCAAGTCGACCAGCAGAGGGCGCTTTTACACTTATAAAGAGAATGTAATTTCACTGTTCAGTATAATGTAACAGAGTAGAACGTGCCATGTGTGAATATACAGTGCGCATGCCTATGAGTGCATGTGTATATTTTGATTTATA